CAGATACTGTACACAGGTAAGCTGAGGTCAAGGGATCGACCCCTGGGATCTGCATCGGCTACTGCCAAAGGTGAAAACTGTTTCAGGATGAACCAGAATCAATATCCGAAGTTCCCTCTTACTGCTGACTCAACTCAACAACAACAACAACTCTCAAGCATAAGCTATGGCGGACTAATGAGGGTCCTGCCCTGATGTCCAAAGGACAACCCAAAGCAGCTATGGTGCTGCGGTGATGTCCAAGGGACAACCCAAAGCAGCTATGCTGCTGCTGACTGGTCCGCCATGCCTGACTCTGCCTCGAGCTTCAGCACTACCCCAACTGGGGCCTTCCAGATGCAGCGCCCAACAAGGTGATGAAGATGGTGTCTACCATAGCCAGGTAAGTGCCTCGCCACTCTCCTCCTTCGCCCCCTTCTTCCTCCTCCTCAAGCTGGACTGCTCGCCATAGCCAGGCTGAGCTCCAGCTGCCTTTCACCTCCAAGCAGCGCTGTACCAGTCCAGCGCTGTGCTCCAGCAGCATGTCGCCAATCCTTGCATACCGCAAATGAGGAGGAGCTACTTGCTCCTCCGAAAAATATAGCGGCCTACTGGCCTCCTGGGCAGTGACTTCCTAGGCCGAGCGGCCTCCCAGCAACCGGTACCTCCTCCCTTTCGGAGGGAAGCATCATCGCAGGCTCTGCTAACCTCCGGACAGGCCCTAGACCCGGGCTACTTGGACTGGTACCGGCCTACCTCTATCCTACCGCTACTGGGCCTCTAAAAATGCCAACTTTTTGTCTTCTTCTGCTCGGCCTCCAGTACCCGACACACCTACCACTACTCGAGTGGTACCGGCCTACCTGCTACTCGAGTGTTTTCCCCCCTGCACTAAGTGTCGCGGGCCTACCCCCGCTACTTGAGTGTTTACCCCCCTGCAACCCTCGAAGCCACGGCCACAGGTAAGTACCGGCCCTACGGGGCCTTGCAACCAACAAGTACCCTTGCGGGTCACACACACACTCAACCGACAAGCACTCAGACAGGCATGCAAACCAGCAGGCACGCACACACACAGACTTGGAAACCACAGCAGAATGCGGGAATCACAGCAAGGCATTCATTCCAGTGGCAAATCCCAGAAATCAGCAGTGTTCTCAGTCTGTGTTTTTGGCGGGTCATTACACATTTCTCTTTTTGAGAGTTGGCTGTCAAGGGGGGGGGAAGGGGGGTATAAATTGGTTTTAAAGGGGCTAAAGCCTAAAAGCCACTAAAGGGGTTTAAAGGTGGGGTGCCTTAGTGTGATTCTGTTATGACGAATTATGATGTGACCCTCGGCCAAAAGTCGTTTGTATTGCCATTCTACACAACATATTTCTTTTTCACTCAAGGAATGGTAAACTCCTCGTTTGATAAAGATGGAAGTCTGATTTAAACGACCGGGCACGGCATCACATTTGACACCTAAGGAAGGTACTGCCCAACTGTGAAGTACATCAGCAGATGCACAACAACATGGAGCAATCGTTACACTTACAGAGATTTTCACAGAGGTTTATATGAATCTGTTCTGGTCGTTGAGAGCTTCCGGGCAATGGTGGGTGATTCCTCAAGCCTTCGACAAAAATTTTCAAAAACTGGGACCTGCACTCATCTGAAATGCCAAGCAATGAAATCAGTTACAGAGAAGTCCATGTCATCGATAGGAAAAAAAAACACTCGTTGACACTACGATTCTCAACATGCTGAGGGCTCACATATCCATACATCCAAACATCCACATAATCCACATTGACCCCAACTGTCGCATACCATAACGGTGCAGACCAGAGCAAGAACTGACCTCTCTCACATAGTACAAGATAGCGCAGCGGACAGCTTAAATACCAATGATCCGAACAATCAATGTTGCAATGCAGCCCAAACAGACATCATCATTCCATGATGTGAAGGGGCCTGGCGCTCACACAGGAAGAATGCACCAGTCCCCAACCATACACAGACGAAGAAGAGGGGGGTTAGACGCAGAAGAGTGGAAGATGGGAATGTCGTCAACACCAAGTCTTCGGTCCAGGTCCCAAATAATCCCTCGTCCAATGTCTGAATCCCAATGTCGAGTCTGGATCCAAATGTCGTCAAGTCCCAAAGTCACCAATCTCTCTCTGTCTCGTAGTCTGCAGGTACTGAGAAGTTAGGTAGCGAGAGGGTGAGGGAGAGATGGGGGACTTAGAAGAGGAAGAAAAAGAACTCTCTCTCTCTCTCTCAATTCGGTACTAACCTGTGAAGGTGGCGCCTTGTTGCAGGTACATCGAAGACGAAGCTGGAGCTATGGCGCCACAGGTAAGTCTCCCTGGCCTCCGCCAACCATCTCTCTCTCTCTCCAATGCTATTCTAGCTCCTAATAGCACCCAGCGCTGAAGACTACTGCTAATGCTACTACTACTACTGCAGCGTTCCTCCAGAGTGCTGCTGCCCAATCCTGAAGACTGCTTCCTGCCTCCTGCACGTGAAGTGCCTGGGAAGTTCCTATGAACTACCTCGTGACTGCCTGCAGCCTGCAGGGCGGGCCAGTCTTATATAGTGATGGTCCGTCCAGGAGGCTGCTCTTGCCAATGCCAAAACGTGCCAGACCCTGGTGTTGAAGTGCAAACAAAGGTTGTCTTGAAAACAGGCCAAAAATGGCCTGTGCTAAAAACCCTGGTCTGGTGCCCAAGTTCCAGGGCAGGTCGACTTTATGAGGGCCTGAAAATGGGCATCGTTTTCAGGCTTTTAGGCTGAAACGACACAGGGCCTGTAGGCCCTCGTTTTCAGGCTTTCAGGCTGAAACGACACAGGGCCTGTAGGCCCTTGTTTTCAGGCTTTCAGGCTGAAAACGACACAGGGCCTGTAGGCCCTTGTTTTCAGGCTTTCAGGCTGAANGGCCCTTGTTTTCAGGCTTTCAGGCTGAAAACGACACAGGGCCTGTAGGCCCTTGTTTTCAGGCTTTCAGGCTGAAAACGACACAGGGCCTGTAGAGCCCTTACTTTCCATGTTTGGCCGGGCCTTGCAGGCCCGTGTGGATGCGCAGTATGCCACACCCTCCCCTCCTTGAAAGACCGAGCTTACCTGCAAGGGCGAAGCTGCTGTCTGAGGGAGGGACCAAAGTCCGGGTGGGAGGGGCAGGTTTGCGAAGCTTCCTTAGCTGGTCTTTGTAGCTCATAGTCAGCGTAGATCAGCGGTGCAGATGCTTGCAAATCTGCGAACTTCGCGTCCAAAATGTTGAAGGACATGGCCCCGCTTACATGCGGGGCGAAGTACACGGGGACGGGGTCAATGCACTGGTCGATTGACTTGTGCGTGTGACTGTCAGCCAACGTGACTTGCGTGGGCTGCGACTTCCTCCGAACGCATGGCCCCAAGCCATTGCGTACCAAAAAATTGTGGCCCATATAGTTGCGAGTGCTTCCGCAATCAATCAAAGCGCTGCAGGTCGCCTCTCCGATCTAAATGTGTATGTACATCAATTGCGCGTCGATGTCGTCGTACCGTTGTTTCTTGAACTCGTGGTTGATCTTCGCAACGTAATCGTGAAGGTCGACAACCTCTACTCCGGCGTCCATCAACGGAGCTGGTACTGCAGTGTGCAAGTAATCCCGCAATTGTGCCTTGAGCACGTTGCAATGCGGTTTCGGCAATCGACCGGTCGGGGGAACGGGCATCCATTGGAAGTCCGCGAACGTCAATGGGTCGAGCTCTTAAAGTCTTGATCATGACGTCGAATCCCCGGCGATAGATGGCAGCGAAGCTGCCGAATCGGTTGCCAATGGTGGTGAAACCGTGCATGCGGTGGATTGTTGCACGTGGAGCATGGAGTGGTTGGTCCAACGGTGAGACCAAGTGGACAGCGTAATCCTCGTAAGATTACCGAGGACTTGCAACATGCGCCTCCTCCCCAGATGCGTAGGAGGCCGCTAGCAAGGTGGCCGAATCTGGCGGCAATGTGGTTTTCGCCTTCCCTTTTCCCCGGGAGTTGTTGTTGCTTCGCGGCTGGATGGCGGCCACCTGATCTCCCTCACGTGATGCTGAGGTGGCTGTCGGGTCTTCCACAATGTTGTCCGGTTCAACTGCAGCAACATGCTACGGACGCGGACCAAATTTTCCCTTCTCCACATGGGCTGGCTGTCACGCTGTCTTCCCGTGTGCAGCAGCCCGGTTGGTCTTGATGATCTCTGGAACGGTCCGAAATGCAAGAACTTGAGCTTGTCGACGCTGGTGGCTTCGTGCCGCTGCAGCAGCTCTTGGGCCTCTTTGCAGAGGGCCTGGGCATCTGCTTCTGCTTCGGCCTGAAGCCGCTGCTTTTCAGCTGCTGCCTCTGCTTCAGCCTATAGGCGGGCAGCCTCGGCTACCGCCTGGCGCTGTACCTCCGCCTCGGTCTGTGCGAGAAGAGCTAGAACACCCTGATGGTTCTCGTCAATGGACTCGTCGGCCTGTTGGCCTGGCAGGCCCAATGATGAACCCGTCATGGTGGTGGGGCCCTGCTGACGTGGCACTGCTGCTGATGTGGCACTGCTGTCGTGGCACTGGTGCTGACATGGCACTGTTGCTGATGTGGCACTGCTGACGTGGCACTTACCAAACCGGGAATGCAGGCAAAGGGTTGGGTGGGAGGGAAAACGCAGGAAGGTAACCAACCAAACTGTACTTTCCCCCCTCTTTTTTTTTTTTTTTTTTGTATATCTGTCAATCTGCTATGAGTGAGGCATTTCAGAGGAGGACTATGAGCAAAATCTAGGCAAGGTTCCACAAAGTTTCGGCTTTCAAAAAAAATGTGATCTGAAAAAAAAGAATTGCGCTAAATAGACTGGAGGTTCCACTTTCAGAGAAGAATAAATCCGGTCTCCAAGAATATGACAACCTCTTACCTTATCCTGATATGCCTAGGAAACATACTTGCGGCGCATCGACATGCGCTGCACCTCGCACACGCGCCGCACTGCGCACTGCGCACGACGCGCGCGCACGGGGTGCGGCGCACCCCGAAAATAGGGGGTCGACCAAAAAAAAATAAATTGCCGAGGGGTGTTCCAGGCCCGGCTGGGATGTCGCGCCACAAAACGAAAAACAAAAACAATGACATTTCGAGGCCGCGCGGGGCAACTGAAGACAAAAAAAGGGGGGCAGCTAAAGTGAGTTAATTTTTTAAGTTTTGAATTCGGAGTGCTGCCCCTCGCTGCCTGGATGAACCCGGTAGTCCAGCTTTGTGCCCTTCGCGCCCGCCGTGCGTTACCCGTCGCATGCTCTCCTCCACGTCTCCTGCGCAGCAGCAGCAGTCCAGGGCGCCATCGTCCAGCCATAGCCGGGGCACAGCAGTCATAGTGAAGGAGCCGAAGAAGCACCGGGAGGAGCGCGGCATCAGCTCGTAAAGTTGCCAGGTGGGTAACCACCAGTCCCTCTCTCTCTCTCTCTCTCTCTCTCTCTCTCTCTCTCTCTCTCTCTCTCTCTCTCTCTCTCTCTCTCTTTTCTTTCTTCTGCGGGGAGGAGGGTTTGAGGGGCGTTGAAGAGGGGCTGACGCCTGGGCTATTTGTGGATTCTGTGTGCGCAGGTGAAGTTTTCGATGGCGCTGGCGAAGCAGATCTTGCGGTCTCTTACGATGGCTGTTTGTGAATACAGTCCTCCAGAGAGAGAGAGTGTGTGTGTGACACTGTGTGTGTGTGTGTGTGTGTGTCCAGAGAAACATTAAAATAAAAAATAAAAAATAATTGGTGTGTGCACCCGGCGCACCTGCGCCCCGCCAGCGCGCACCCCCCAGCGCACCCGCGCGCAGCCCACCGGCCTTGTGCGCAGCGCATCGGCACCCAGGTGCGCGACGCGCGCCGGTGCGCGTGCACCTCGGGTCCGTGCACCGCACAGCGCACAGGGTCGATGCGCCGCAAGTATGCTAGAAAACAAAATGCTAACATCCAAAATTTTCGGCTATGTAAGCAAATATCAGAAATTTTCGGATGCTAATATCAGAGAAACGAAATGCAACTATCAGAAATTTTCAGATATTTGTTACGTGAAAACGAAATGCTAATATCAGAAATTTTCAGATAAAACGAAATGCTACTATCAGAAATTTTCAGATATTTGTTGTGTGAAAACGAAATGCTAATATCACATTATATCAGAAATTTTCAGATAAAACGAAATGCTACTATCAGAAATTTTCAGATATTTGTTGCGAGAAAGCGAAAAAAAAATTGCAGAGATTTGACGAAGTCCTACTTGATTTACTAATAAACAATCAATCAATCAATCAATCAATCAATCAATCTGAAACGGTTTTCACCTTTTAGCAGTAGCAGATGCAGTACCCAGGGTTCGATCCCTAGACCTCACCCTACCCATGTACAGTATCTGTGTAGACCCCGAGAGTTGAACCTGTGACCTGTGTATTCGTAAACAGTTGGTAGGTCTGTCGTAGGTCCATAAGCAGCAGAGGTTCGATCTGTAGGTCTATAGAGTAGAAGTCTTAGCAGGTTCCAGAAGTCTAGCTGTAGTGCTTCTAGAAGGTCGGCAAGTGGGCAAGTGGTCAAGTGGCGAGGCAAGTGGTGGACTAAACTGCAGTGCAATCGCAGTACAACGACGGTAGGATAGCAGTGAGTCCACAGACAGTCAGCAGTAGGGTCCAGT